ATAAAAAATATACTTTTCTCTAACTTAAGAATTAATACTTTTTATTTATTTACACCTGCATTTGCATATTTTGGGGGTGGGAGGTTTGGACCATTCCGCATTCGTACCTGGCAAATGCAATTTTAAATTTTGCCGAGTCAGCGTTCAACTTTTACATTTAGTTATCCAAAAATGTATACAAATATATATTATATAATAAAATATTAAATACATATAATCTTTTCTTTTTTTTTAAACACTATATCCTTAATCAAATAACTAAATATTTATATACAAATATGTTTATTATTATAAATGAATTTATTAAATTTAAATTACATACAGCTACAGACTTTTAATAATACTTGTATACTTGTTAAACAGTGTTTGAGTAACTGTATATTATAAATTAATTTTAATTTTTAATTTTAATTAATATTATAAATAGCGTTTAGAATGGAATATTTTTTTGTATACAGATATTTCGTTGTGGGGCAATTTCGATAATAAGTCAATCAACCAATGATGAAAACAAAAATAATAAAATGTAATTTTAAAAAAAAATATTTATTCGTTCGTACAAGGCTATCTCTCGGGAACTTTTAATATCATAATTTTAATTCCCGATTTTTCCTATACCATGGTCCATCTATCTACTATCTCGTATTCTATAATCAATGCTTCAAGCCTCATTCAACATGTATCTTATTAAAGGAGCTGGAGCAAGTATCTTTTAACGTAGATTATAATATCGATATATATATATATATATATATTATTTAATCTATGCTTTTAAGGAGTAATATCTAGGCATTTCGTAAAACATTAATATATCAATATCAATGTGTGAGAAATAATTGTATTGAATTCCGTTATCGCGACCGCCCGCGAACAACATTACAAATTCTCGGAACTACGGTCTACGATAAAGGTGCGTTTACATTAGGCTGCGTCCAGACTACACGACCAAGGTAACCGAACGCCAATGTCTCCACATTCGGCGTTGGCTGTGTATAGATATGAGAACGATGGCATACTGCCTAAACTCATTCCGAATTCGTCATTAATCCGCGTTTGGAAGCCTTCGCTGGTTTAAACGGCGAACGCACACAATTTATTTTATATATCCGATCGAACCAAATGTTAACGAAGACCAAAATATCAACCAATCGTGTCTAAACTGATAACGAATTCCTTTGATGTACCGCTCCCCGAGCGAGGGCAACTGAAGACACATTCGCCGTTGTCGTTCGTTCGATGGCGCTGTCTACTCCTAGACCAACATCACCGAATAAGGTCGTCACATGTGCCTTCGGTACCCTTGGTCGTCTAGTCTGGACGCGGGTTTAGAGCCCGCATACGAACGAATGGCGCACGAAGATTCGCTATATCGTTTACATTAGTGCGTTCGTTCGTGAGCTCAAGGTTCGCCTCCAGATACACCTAGTATACTTAGTATCGATCAAACTGTTGTCGAGAGAAGTCGTGTTGCCAAAATCACGTGTGTTTAATTTAAAAATTCAAACATTTCTACAAGATCCTAGTAGACTCTCCATTTTTTTCTCCGTTTCGTTCAAATCTCGTTTTAATTCATTGGCTATTTCCAACCAGAAGTCAATTTTTTTCTTGCCCATTTTATAATGGGTATGTTCATGATCCCATAGAATTTGTCTTGATTTATATAAATTTATAAGATGTGAACATTCATCTCCGTCCACTCCACAATTGAGTCAAAATAAAATATTTAACATAAAATACGATGCAAACAACGCATACTGGCCGAATGCCGTTCAAATTGAATGGATGGTTTGTTTGATCTTACCACTCTTTAGTCGATCACGACCGCACGCGAACGAACGTCTTCGTTCGTATGTGATCGGGACTTTATGCGTGCGGTTGTGTTTGTGCGCCATTCGTTCGTATGCGGGCTCTATTGTAAACGCACTTTAATAATCAAAATAAATTATGGAAACGACAGAAAAACGAAATTTATATAAAGTAATAATATTTAATATGTGAATATATAACAATTATTAGATAAACGCCACATCCCGTATTAACAGAAAATCTCCATACTTAGAACCCACATATCACAAACCACGTCCTGTATTGAATAAGTCACGAGACAAAGAACGATAACGAGTTCACACGAAATCAGAGTATAAAAGAGAGTCCCAAATATACCCATTTTCAGAAGTGATTTAGTCCTGATATAGTGTGCACCTTCACGCCAGTTTGTTTAATACAGTGGTGGCCAAACTTTTTTTTCCTCGGGCCATAAAAAACAACTTTTTTTTATCGCGGGCCATAAAAAAATGCATTCTAAATTTTTTTTTACGTAAATGCAAAATATTACAGTTATACAAATAAGTGCTGTAATATAGAAGACTTTCGCGGGCCAGATATTAAATGATGGCGGGCCGGAGTTGGCCCGCGGGCCGTAGTTTGGCCACCACTGGTTTAATACATTAATTATTTGGACTTAGAATATTTTTGGTAAGTTAATAAATATTTGGATTTAGAATTATTTCACGATAAAGTAATTTACTTAAAGTTGAGAGTTCATTATTTCCTACATATCATAATTCTACATTGACTGGAAGCTGTTCACATTGATTGAAGTCTACTCTCGTTGCACTGTCGGTACACACAGACCGGCACGCAACAGTCTTTACAAACAACTTTATAGGGGAGAACCACTTACCAAATATAATTTCATTAGAATGGTTATTAATATATGAATGTACACGGCATCGATAGTATAAAAATAATTTAATTAATTAAAAATAAGGGTGAAAGAGAGTCATAAATATCATTGTACGGGAAAGTCACATACCACATAAATAATATTGGAAGCTATAATATAATTATTAATTATCCTTAGGCTCCCGTATATGCTCGTTAGTAATTATTAATTACTAATAAGCATATACGGGCACGAATAGAACAGGGTGATTTAACATCGATTGACCACAACGTACGGAATTATAATTTATAATTCTATTTATAGGCATAATTTGCGAGACCAACAGTTATTGTTGGTTACAATAAAAAGTTACAATAAAAAAAACCTACACGCTAGCGCCAGTTTACTTAATAAATTAATCGGACTTAGATATACAATATTATATACTTACAATAAATAAAATTTAATTTAAAGTTGAGTTATTCTTTTAAACATCCCCATCCACACTTTTTAATAAAGAACCGTTGAATTGACAACACGCAACAACAGACATAATAAACATGGTTTCCATGGACACGCATTTACGACGATTTTTATGCGAGTAAATGCAATACTATATAATTATCATATTCGAGATCTAATTTAATGAGGGATATAAATAACATAAAAAATAAAATATAATAACATGTTTCTAAATCCTGTTTTATCGTAAATCATTATATAGCGTACCGCTTAGTGCGATGAGTGTAAAACACAAATAATTGAACAGTTTTTTAATCAATGTATTAATTTGATACGTGTGAAATGAACTCTTGATTTTACAATAATACCTAACTTTATTATAAATAATTTTAAGTCCAGATATTACGAATCAAAATAATTCTAAGTCCAATTATTGCGTTTATTTTAATCAAAATAATTCTAAGTCCAATTAATTTATTCATTAATGTGACTTAATACGTTTAATTAATGAATAAAAATTAAATAATAAATAACTCAATTAATGCGCTATGTAAACTGGCGTGAAGGTGCTATAATCAAACACATCTGATTGTTGGTCTGTTTGGGACTACTTTATATACCCCGTTTCCGTGTGATAATGTGGTTCATCCTTTTTCCAAGAGTTGAATTTGACATGGTTTAGGTATGTTTTAAATAATAATTTATACTTACATTATTATAAATTAAGCTTTTTGCACCAATCCGCTAAAATTGTATCGTAATTAGCTACCGTATATTTGAGTGGTTGCCTCACGACTTCTGCGAATCGCATAACTACTTTTATAACTAATGACGATAGAATTTCGTGACTTGTATTCGCGTATTTATTTTACCCGACAGTTTTTCGGTTATTGCAACTGAACTACTGGTGCCTATATATATATATATATATATTGATTATAATAAGAATCCTAATTCTAATCCTATAAATGCTATTTAAATACTATTTAACTTTAAAACTATATTCTAGCCGCAATAGAAAGCACCATTGTTTTATTGTATTGAAAACTAGAGATAAAGGAGCAAAAAAAAAAAAACTAAAGAATTTCAAAATAAAGAATGTTCGTCCGGTAAAGAAGAAATATACAATTATATTATAACTACTATAATTTAATATAATATAAAATTTGATTACAAGAAAGGATATGCATGCCAAGTAGGCTCACCTGAGTAATTATTTAATATTTAAATCATGTATTTGAATACTTTTTCAATCATTTTTAGTCAAATACAAGATTACAACCGATGGTGTATTTACAAGCCAGGTACTGTGGCACATTCATATGAGCTTATTTCTATAATAAATGTAAATCTATTAATACTATAACAGGGTATTTACATTTTACATTATAGAGCGTAAAGCTAATATTTTTAATAATGGTTAGCGACCTGAAGAATTTTTGTTGGCGGCCGTTTTGCACTTTTATCTAAGAATTTGAATAAATAAATAAAAATGAAATACTATCGAAAGCTGAAGATTGTTATCGAAAACTTCGTAATTTAATAAAATATTCGATTTCATTTCTGTGGAATAATTAATGTGAGCCAACGATCAACAGAAATCATAAACAAAAATAAATGAGTGGGAACGAGGTCCCTTAATAAGCGCGACATCAATATGTCACGGAATAAAATCTGGTGCAGTATTATGAATACCTAAGATTTGCTTCAACCAAGACTTGATTTCGACAGCATGCACGAATAACTGGCCGCCATAAATTCCACCATAACCAGTCTGTAGCAGTAGCTACAGCTAGCCAACAAACGGATGGCGCAAGTCCCGGCACGTTCCATAAGTGCCATCCGTTCGAGTTCAAAATATCGAAACACTTACCGGGTTCCAATCCAGCGGAGAAGCATTCCATTCGTCTTCGTCATCGGTAACATCGGGGTCGGCAAGTTCTATAACGTAACGTTCAAATGCAACTGCACAGCACCTCACAAAGTCCTGGTTGTGCAAAGGGAGATCAGTCTTTAAGAAATTATCAGTCTTTCGGTTTTTCTTTATCCTCGTAATTTGCTCGTCCTTCGACGACATTTGTTCTGTAATCGGCGGCGTATCATGATTCTCAGCACGGCGTTTCTTACGGCGGCAGAGTGAGCCATCACGCACGAACGCACTCATAGCTGTTGTTCGGCGTAAGGGACGCACTCGAACGGAATCATAGGAGGGGGCGGAGACGTTCGCGGAGTAGTTGGTGCACGCGCGAAGATAAAAATCCTTAAGAACGCGAGCGGTATTATTGGCGCGACGCAATTGATGACGTTGGCGATCCTGGCACGCAGATATGAATAGGAACACTGTTCATCAGCCGCGAGGACGGACGAGTTTCGGAACACCGCAGGCACGGACGCGAGACGGACTACGAACAACACGTAAAGAGACCGGACCAACAAATGAACCGCTGCGGCGACACCCGAGTGCCGTGGAGTGCGTGCGGTCGACCACAAGCCGAGCGCGCACGACGTACGACAGCTGCCGAACCGAAGGAATTACAGAAGAAAACCGGTGCAGCGCTGTCGTCTGCGAGGGTAAACGATGAGCGAACGAATACCGGTTTCGGTTTACGTCGTAAATCACGTGTCTCGTGACTGGGCCACGGACAAATATATATATATATATGTATACCGTGGTCTGGGCACAAAGTAATAACCTATGAACAACATTCATTTTTTGTCCGGTCATCATAATCGGTTACCGCCCTGTTCGCCACGGAGAATTTTGTCTATTCCACACTGCGATTGTCGACGATACGCACGTGAGCGGTAAGTCCATTCGACATGACTTGACCTACGCGGTTGCCTACGGGCGAACAAAAGCGACGAATAACCGCGCATTTTCACGTGCGACCCGTTGCGCGATCGTGTGAATGTGTGCGCAGGGCCGGCGTTTGGGGTGGGCTTACACTCGTTGAAAGAGGAGCGCCTCAATGATATAATGTTAAAATTGAAAAAATTGTAGGAATATAATTCAAATATTTTATCCATTCTATTGACTAATATTTATTATGATAGGTATTTAATATTGCATTACATATATGCATGAGTGTGTAACGATACATAAGCTTTATAATAAACGAATTCTTATAAATATTAAAAAACTACATCCGTGGATAAACTGAACCATACACATTATCATACAAATGTTATACACCTACACAACATTCAAACATGGAAACAATTGTTCAAAAAACCACATATGTAGATAAATCGTACACATTATCACACAAACGTCATCCCACACACACCTATACAAAACTATACAATATTCAATAAATATTATCATTTTTAAATTATCATACACACACACTTGCGTCCATCGGGTATTTAAGGGACCCGGAAACAATGGAAAATAAGACGAGTTCTTGCTATGCGACACTGAGCACCTTCACGCTAGTGTATATTATGGTCTGGACTTAAACTCACAACAGTTTATTAAATTATTAGGACGTAGAATATTTTACCACAGTTTAAATATTAGGACTTAGAATATTTTTACGACGTAAATTTCCCGACATTTGTACAACCCTATTCCAAGTCGAAATTGTTTTTCCCATTTTGGCGTGTCCCGAACATCACCAAACAAAACCGTTAAAAGTAGTGCAGTTTTTTCGTATTATTTGTCGGCTAAATTATTTTTTGGCTATATTACAGTTCGGCTGTTCTATTGACGGCTATTTTATGCGCGTCATTTTTAATTTGTTAAGTTAATCTGATTAAAATTCAATGGGTTGAAAAAATAAATCACCACCGTCTGTGCACCAACCTACAGATATCAGCCCGGTCCCGGGTTAACCCTAACCACTTATATCGGTCATCGTCATAATTGTTAACTTCGTTGATTTTCCTAGTGTTAAAATAAATTACCGACAATACTGTCTTTTTTCAATATTTTACAAGTACATTTATTAACTTGTCCCAAAATCCTAACACTTAGTAATTTAACATTTTTGTGGCATCATCGAGTAGCCGGCAGCACGCTACAATAAATAGTGAATCAGAAAATGTGTAAAGCAATAGAGCAATGGCGGAAAATTGGAGTTATTACAGGGTGGTAGCTAAGTTTTCCATACCCACTGGACTTACCGATGCCACTTGCAAATTTTGATTCAAAATTTTAGATTACAATAAAAAAATGTTCTTGAAAAATAGTTAAAAAAAATTAAACAATAAAAATATTAGTAGTCTGGGTCAGTATCGTCTTTGACTTTTGTACTATACGTGGCTACAGAAGTTGGTTTATTAACATTTAAAATGTTAAACATTTTTTTAACTTTAATTTGTCGCGTCCTGTGTGGTCACATAATTTAAAACACAACATGGGGAGCATCGCGTCCCTTGATATTATATTTTATAATATTAAGTTAAAAAAGAAGCTAAAATAAATAGATAACCGGAAACCACATCCTGGGCATTTGCCAATAATTAGGTCACGGTCTGGAGATAAGGCACACACACTCACAATCTATAAGAAATTATCTTATTTTATTATCGTCTTCATTTACACACACACACACTTGGGATTTTACACACACACATGCCATATCACATATAAAAGGGACCCGAAAACAAGGGCAAATCAGACGAGTTTTGGCTATGCTGCACTGAGCACCTTCACGTCAGTGTATGTTATGGTCTGGACTTAGAAATATTTCTAATTATTTTTATAAGTCATAATTGTTAGGACTTAGATAATTTCTATCACTAGAATATTTACAAAATTGTAGTTAGGATAATTTTTATAAGTTAAATAAATTTAATTATTTTAAAAAGAAGTCTTAATTATTCCTGACTACACTTCCAATCAAGCGTTGACAGAGACGTTGTAACTGAATAATCAGATCGATCGGTTAGCACGTAACAAATTTAATAATTATAAAATGTATTATAATAACTATTATTATTAAACTTGTGATAAAATCAAAACTTACAAATATTGATCAAATCGAAACACTTTACACTAAATCAAAAAAAAAAAAAAAAACGAAAAATAAAAACCAAGTCTGAAATATGATTAAAATTATAAAATATCTACGTCAACAAGTACAGTCAAAAATCTGTCCTAATTATAGTTTGTACTCGATAGTAAATAGTAGTCAAGTGTGGAGAAATGGATATGATGGACCGACGGACACGAAAAGAATTATATTTAGTCCATGATAAAAAAAAAAATGTTATAACTAGGACTTGGAAGTTAATGCATTTCGCATTTTTTTTTTTTTTTTAACTTTTTGGCAGATGCTCTCCTGGCCACAAATGTGTTTCATTAGCATGTTAATCCGAATAACTAATTTTTAATTTGTATTTTTTGGTGTTTATTACTTTTTAAGTCATTTGTTGACATTTTTAGGTAATTTTCCCAAATTTTTAGGCATACTTACTGATTTCACACTAGTTCCTTTTTATCGTTTTTTTATTGACCATTATACCGATAACTTAAGATTTGTCCAATTTTATTTCGCCGATTACATTCGTCGCGTCGTTGTCGTGTTATAATGAATAATACCTATTATATCTAAATTTTATTATTTTTTTGTAATATTTTCGAAATGACGAAAATTAAAACGTCAAATATTAATAATTATTAACAGATAATCGACGTTTATTTACTTTTGATAACATCAAATATGGTCTGATTGTACAATACAATGATTTTGATTTGTGAGTAATTTGTAGGCTTTGATAAATTTATAAAAAAAATATTTGTTATTATTTTATTTCATATTATATGTATATATGTTTTATTTTGAATAATTTGTTAGTTTTGATAAACTTATGTAGAATATTATAGTAAAATAGAGTAAAATATTTAAAAAAATATATTTTTATTAATTTAAAACAAATATTTGTAATTTTTTCATGTCATTTTTTGTCATTTTTATGCCATATTAACATGGTTTTTAATGTTTTTAAGGTCATCAACTTCCGAGCCCTAGTTATAACTTATAATTTATAAGACAAGCCAAAACGTCCGAAACAATAATAATAAGTTATAAATAATATGAAATAATATAATATAAATAATTTCTGTCGAAGCCACAGCTCAGTTTGCTGATAAATTGGACATACGTAAATACAATTTATTATACACCCAAATTATTTAATTAATATGTTCGAAAAATAACAATATTATTAATTTTTTAACGTATCAAAAATTCAAATATTTTTGTTTTTGTGGCCCAAATTCAATTTAAAAATTTTCAAGAAATTTCACAATTTTATTTGTATGTTTGTAAAAATAATTGTTAGTCATTTTTGTTGTTGTTAAAACCGGACGTGAAGGGGGGCTAAGAATTCTACTTTAAACTTTTAGGGGAATTAGTTCCCTTAAGCCCCCGATTTCCGCCTATGAAATAGAGGTAAAAACCAACTCACCTGATTTACTAGCTCTTCAATTACCAAATTAAGAAGCCTTATACTCGATATCAGAATATAAAATCGTATTTATAGCGTTTTAATATTTTTTTAAACATTTCTTCAAAGCATACAACATGTTGAATTAAAATTATTTAAAAACTAGTTTTTCATCAAAAATGTAGTTCATATATTTTCAAACAGCAAAACATTTTAAACGAACATTGTTTACTTACTAATTTGTTTATCATGACACAATTTAAATGTTTTATTCACAAGTTAAATATAATATTATTTAAATAAATGAGTAGAAACTATTTAAATAAATGATTGATTCTTTTTTTTTAATGTCAATATATTAAGAAAATTATCTACTCGTACATAATGATGTCTTTAGTAAAATGGTTTTCTATAAGTAGTATAATCATTAATTACAAAAAAATAATAAAACCATCCGTACGAAACAAAATTATATATAAAACGTTTTATTTTAACTTTTATTTTGACTGGAGTAAATGATTTTGTGGCTTGAGGATCAAATTGGAGTCTGAAATTTAGCTAAGAACAAATAAAGTAAATCAATTGAGAAGACCTAGCTTTTGTTACGTGTCGAGTTGTTGAATCGACAGTGTAACAATGTTATGTGTCAATAATAGTATTCAATATAGAGTAAGCAACACTAATGATAATATTATGTTTTTGTATTAGTTCTTTGAATAAATCATTATAAACAATTTAATAGTACAACGCCGTTAACATTAACAGGTAGAACTTCTATACTAGATGGTTGGATACGTCTAAAGTTGGTGTTGATCCGGATCCTATATATATGCTGTTCGATCACGTTCTTGACGGTTTCTCCAATGTTAATTTTATTGTTTTCACCAACTGGTTACCCTTGTCCTTGTTGATCGTCACATTCAAATAATGATATTGTTGTTTTTTCAAGTTTTGAAATTCGCGGCTTTTCCCTAAATTATAGTAATATATAGTAATTACGAAATACGTATGAAGCATAGTATGTATACTTTATTTAAATGAAATTATAATTAAATCATAAAAAATCTATTGTAAACGTTAAATATTTAGATGATATATGTTTTAAATATACAAATTTATCGATAAATTATAAAAATATTTGTAAATTTGAATTGAGAGAAAACCATTTTAATTTTTTTTGAAAAATCTGATAATCTAAATTTTAATAAAATTTAGTTTCCAACACTAATTAAACAAGTTAAACAATTGGAGCGTAATAATAATACTGTTCCATCAATATTTTTAGAGTAGACGATTATTATGAAATGTATCCAATTTATATAAGCACAGAAGAAAAACCTAACCAATTAAATTTTTTTTTATTTTAACAATAAAAGGTCAAATTATGTAGGTTTTAATACAATTTGAAATTTGATCTGCGCATTATTACATTTTTCGTAATTACTCCCAATCACTCTTAATCAGGAGAATACAGAAATAATTATCTCAACCACATTTCAAGTTAATAATTAGTTAGCATACAATAAAATAAGTTATCGGACGAGACGAATGTAATCTACTTAATGATTTTAATTCCACAACCATTTGAACAACAGAAATCACTTAAAACTAGTACTTGGAGTAAAAATCCTTTATATGATGAGAAATGCATATGTATATAGTATACTACTATAGGCGGATATTTCGTTGAATTTTTTTTTTGGGGGGGGGCTATAATAATTCAATGTAAAATAACCTTCAGGGGATTTGCCCCCACACCCCCTATGTCCGCCTATGTAAACTACATACATATATTTTAATGTATAATATAGCTGAAAAGATCTAGTGTCTGATACTTTTGTTAAATAACTGGTTCCAGTCTACGAGAATGTACGCTTTAGCTATTTTACGATCATACGAAGATCTCGTATTTGATAGTGTATGCATGTTGTTCTTGAAAAACCTATTAAAACCGTGGGAATTATTAATTCCTCATTGAAACTGAGCTATAAAATAGAACAAGGAGAAAACAAACAAGTTTTTTCAGATAACTCCCACAGATTAAGAACTGCTGCATTATAGAAAACATTTCGTCATTTTGTAAAAAAAAATAAAAAAAAATTATAAAATTTGATAAAAAACTATTTTTGTATATATAGTTTTACTATGAATTTATCTTTATTACTGTGCTATGTACAGGGTTTTTCAAAAAGAAAAATATTCATTTTATTTTTTTTAATTATAAAAAAATATAAAATATTTTTTCCACGGAGGCAGTTCAATTCATTTCAAATCATCGAGAAAAAAAACTGATCATTTTTTCTCCAACTCCGAAAAAAGAACATATATTCTATTGTGCAAAATTACAACATCAACAGTCAGAAGATGTCTTTTGGATCGTCCAACTCAGCCTTGTTATAAGAATTATTATGAATATTATTATTGAAGTATTTTAAGGCACAAGTCATAACGAACCATCATTTAATTTCATTAATTATGTATTTAATTATGTACAAGTTTATTTTTCTTCTTATCAGTAAATTCATATACTTATTTACTATATACTGAGCTTAATTATTATGGTTATATTTTAATTGTGTATTTTCCTCTTTGTTGTTTACATAATCTGACTAATTTTATTTACTAGACAGTTATAAATACACATAATATAAATCATATCCGTCCTATATCATGACAGTGTTATCTTTTGTCAATAATTACAAATTAAACTATAGGTTTCTCTTAAATTTAATATTCTCCCAATTAACTGTACAAAGTCTATTATTTCTGAGTATAAAAGTCCTATATACGACATATCCGCGTTAACCTTAAACTAAAAATATTGTCGTAATAATCACCAGTGTTATGCTTAGATAATAAAAAACTATCTAGATATAGATAGATACTTCAGAAATTGAATTTATCTAGATTAGATAGATAATATTATTTTTATCTATATAACTATGTAAGACATTAGGTACCGCAACATTTAAATTTATAATAATAATTGATAATTAATATAAATTTGTATTTTTATTATAAAATTGCAGGGATGGACAACTGGCAGCCCGCGAGCCTTTGTTATCTGGCTCGTGCTATATTTTCAAATCTCATGATACAATATTAAAGTTTATCGTCTATACTCTTATTGATATATACGATTTTAATCTGGTATTAAACATCGTTAAATGTCGTAAAATGTCATGTGTAAGTATACGTATAGCTTTCAACTATAATTGTTTGTACCGAATTGTTTAACAATATAAGTTTATTATTTATTCATATCGTTCTTGTTGTGCTGTCGTGTGTGTTGAATTTATTATTTCCGTGTATATAAATGCTAATTAAAATTCGTATTTTGAATGACCTTTTTTTTTCTCTGACCCGCTAGATTTTAATTTTCTAAAAATTGGCCCTCTAAATATTTCTCCAAACTTAAAGAAATATTCAGAATAATGGAAAAAAAATATGAAATGTATGACAAATATGACTGTAGATAATGTTACGGACATACATAGATGTAGGTTCTTACTGCTCTTAAAACATAGGCGGGACCACATAAATCGTAAATAATAGAAATCGCGGAATGATTATAAATAATATAATATAATATTCGCAATAATAGAAAGGAACTATTAGTTTAAAACAGAGGGTAGCGCAAACACATATTATGAAGACAAAAAGTATGTAATAAATATTAAAAACAACTATTATAGACAGGCATTAGTACAACATGTGCAAAATGCGGAATTCACGAGGTCAACTGATTACATAGACAATCCAGGTCAGCAATGAGAAGCGGGGTATATAAGGGAGTCCCGAATAGACCAATAGGCAGATGTGGTTTATACGAGTAGTCGCAAGCACCTCCACGCCAGATCATCTTTTTAATTAATCATTTGTACTTAGAAAAATTTTAAAATAAACAGTTTAACAATATTGAGTATTTTTATTTGGAATATTTTCCTAAAATCTTCAACATCTTTATGATTGGACGACGGCACGCAACAATAATATAAGTATATAATATAATGAATATGGTGAGCACGTTGTACGAGTCAAGCTGCGTTTAACATGGTAGGAATTTTTAATAATAATAAATACGGACGTGTGTCGATTATTTAATGTACAATATTATGTAGACAGTACGATTTCATAGAATCGATCAATCGAGATCCGGTAATGACAATTATTTAAAACACATGATCGATCAATGGATATAATATATAAATAAATAAATATAAAATTAGAGATGATCGATAGAGAACGATACAGCATATTAAAAGCTAATAGGTATATTATTAAATTATTATTAAGAAAAATAGATTTGACCTGATGCTGAGACAGCCCGTTAATAAGGAAAACGGAAATACCATAAGGAAACAGGAAAAGAGACTCATGGGTGCCGAGGTCTCCATGGCCTCGGTTAGTCTCTAAGGTATTACCTTCGACGTGCTCGCACTACCCAAAGGTTTTGTAACCCGGATAGAATTACTATGATTACAGTTGACGTTCTTGTAATACCTATGGGATTACTACAGAGGTCAACCATTTTAATTACAATTTAACACCTCCAGGTAGTAACAGTAATTGGAAATAATGTATTACATAGAAATGCGCGGCCAATTCCCACGAGACCTAAGTATATAAGGGGGTTGGAAACAGACCAATATTGAGATGTGGTTTACATGTACAGTCGCAAGCACCTTCACGCCAGATCATTTCTTAATTAAATGTTTTTGTACTTAGAAAAAATCTTAAATAAACAGTTAAATTATATTTGAGTATTTTTATTTGGAGTATTATCCTAAAAAACTTAACCATCGTTACGATTGGACGACGGCACGCAACAGTGGTGTACATATTATCACGTTTCATTTACGGTTTAGTGAAGTTTTTATTCTTATTTTGCGTAAATTAAAAACAATTTGAAAAAATGTCTAAAATACGAAAAAATATTAAGTGTTTGATAAACCAGTGGATTGAACCATATAATAGACACTATTGTATTTACAACTGATGAAAACGTAGTCTATTGTCAGGTATGCAATCGCCAAGTGCCGTGTAATAAAAAATTTCAAATCACACAACATGTTCATTCATCTTTTCATACTGATTCCTTGAAACGAAGTTTAAATAATAAAAAATAAATGCTATTGGGAAATGTTTACAAATCTAATACCAATAATTTTAATGAAGATCTCTGTTTAAGCTAAGTAGCTGCCAACATACCATGGGTTAAACTTCAAGTTCCACAATTTAGAGATTTCTTGCAAAAATACACGAATCAACATATACCAGATGAGAATTTACTTCGAAAATCTTATCTCGAGCCATGTTATAATAAAATAATAAAAAACGTAAGAGAAAAAGTAGGGGATTCGTATATTTTTTAATTGTAGATGAAACAACAGATATTAATGGTACCTACATAGCTAATCTTTTAATAGGTGTGTTAAGTAGTGAAAACTCTTTCAATCCCTTTTTAATTGCTAGTAAAAAAATAGAAAAAACAAATCATTCAACTATTGCACGTTTTGTCAATGATGGCTTAAGGATTTTGTGGCCAAGTGGTGGTAATGACGAAAAAGTTTTGCTATTATTATCAGATGCAGCCCCATATATGATAAAGGCAGGTAAAACATTAAATGTATTTTTCCCCAACATGACACATGTTACATGCCTAGCGCATATGCTTCAAAGAATTGCTGAAAAAGTGAGAGAATTATTTCCAAATGTTAATACACTGGTAAATAATTTAAAAAAAGTGTTCTTAAAAGCTCCTCATCGTGTAGAAGTCTACAAAGATGTTTTGCCAAATGTAGCCTTACCACCAGAACCTATACTCACCAGGTGAGGTACTTGGATTGAAACAGCCACCTTTTGTGCTGATAATTTTGAACAGCTAAAAATAATTATCATTGAAGGTGTAGTCAGGAATAATTAAGACTTCTTTTTAAAATAATTAAATTTATTTAACTTATAAAAATTATCCTAACTACAATTTTGTAAATATTCTAGTGATAGAAATTATCTAAGTCCTAACAATTATGACTTATAAAAATAATTAGAAATGTTTCTAAGTCCAGACCATAACATACACTGACGTGAAGGTGCTCAGTGCAGCATAGCCAGATTTGCCCTTGTTTTCGGGTCCCTTTTATATGTGATATCTGTATGTGTGTGTGTAAATGAGAACGATAATAAAATAAGATAATTTCCTATGGATTATGAGTGTGTGTGCGTTATCTCTGGACCGTGACATAATTATTGACGCAAATGCCCAGGATGTGGTCACTATTATTTCGATTAACTATTTATTTCAATTTCCCATAAGAACGTTTATGTGAACCCTTTCACTTGTCCACGCTTGTGATTTCGATATTCTAATTTCTTATTGTAATCTCTAGTGTAATAACCACATGAGTACAATAATCTCATCCCCGGTTATTGTCTTATTGTGTGACTACGCAGGACGCGACACCAAATAAATATTCTATAAATTTAAAATTATAATATTATAATAAACATAATCATAATACATAATCCTATGACTAAACCATGATCCATTAGGGAATTTGATCTATCACGAAAAACTCGCGGTCTAGGTAAAAATTGAATGATTTGTATAACAAAATTATCTTCATCGCTGGATGAAGATGACGTAAAAGATTCCACTATTAATGTTTAAAATTATTATAGTTTAAAAAGAAACAAAATTAATTATACAAATATTGTGGATAAAATTTATAATTGATAATATTGGTCATTTTGCGTTTAAGTACTACATGAACCTGGTTAATTGAATATTTCATATAATTCAAAGAGCACATAGTTCTCCTTCCACGTTTTGACATATCGGTGTAGAATACCAAGTTGAACTCGCATCATTATTCATTATATACTAAAAAAAGTTTATTATTTATATTAAAACAAGTATTACATTACAGTTATCACGTATTAATATGACTATATTAGAAAAAATAGCAGAAGAGCTACATAAACTAGTAAGAAAAAAATTTCCTAGAAGAAAAATAATTTCTTTATTCAAAAAATGATCTTTGATAAGCAAATCTAATAGATATGCATTCATATTTTAAGTATAATGTTGAATATAAATATATTCTAATTGTAATAGATACATATACCAAGTATTTATGGGTACAGGCATTAAAAAATAAATCTGTAAAACACGTTACACAAGGTATGTTAAATATATTAAAAATAAATCATCCTAAATTTTTACAAACAGATAACGGTACAGAGTTTTACAACAAACAATTTCAAATTCTTATGAGGATATATAACATTAAACATTATTCGACATACATTGGTATAAAAGCAGCAATAGCTGAACGTGTTATTGGATATTGAGTGGTTATGTAACATGTAGAACGAATAGTGGGGGAACTCTTTTTACAAGCTACCCTTAAATTTCTTTTTAGGTGGGTGGGTAGGTGTGCAAAATCCTAACAGGACTCATGAAGTAAAATATTTTGCGCCGCCACTGCTGACAACAATATAATAATTAATAATCACAATCTATCCAAAACATCGTAGACAAATCGGTTAATATTGTGATAAATATATAAACAGAACTTTTTGACTGTTGATCTATTTTTAAAAATTATAATATCCGATCGACAATACAATATCGCACGCGTCCACCGGTATTGTTTAAATTCTAATGTTACAGTATGTAGACGCTCGGCAGTTTCCGACCGTCTTCGCAAATACTCGAAGTCGGGGGAAATTTAATCGAAGTTTATGCGGGTTAGGTTATTTTTGGATAGTGGCTATAGTATATAATAATAATAAATTATGTACTGTTGTTGTTGTATAATGTATGCCTTTTGGTGATGAAAAATTAGAAGCTTGCGTAAATCCATGATAGACGAATTTTCTTAAAGGTATACACATAAATCCAAAAATAAGGATCCGGGTATATGGCATATACCCGCGTATACCCTCCAATACACCATTGATAATAAATATGACAGATGTTAATAATATAAAATAAGTATGTAACTGGGAAGACACTTTTAACGCTTCACATAATTAAAAGATTTTAATTTTCAGAAAGCCATAGTGTGCATGTGCAAGCGTGTGAGTCACTCCTTTTACTGAGCGATGTTAATATTCGATGATTCACATTTAAAAATAAATATATGTGTGTAGGTGCCTATGTTTAACCGCTAAGATTGTCAAATAAATAGTCAACTTTCATAATTTTACAACTGTTATAATATTTATTTAATTTTACGTAATTGTGTGCAAGAAATAAATTTAAGTTATATACTTATTAGTTAATATGTCTTAAGTTAACTGGTGTGAAGGTCCTCTCTTAGACAGGACTAAAACACATCTGAATATTGGTCTGCTCTGATCCCTTTATATATTCCGTTTTTGTGGGAATCTACTCGTATGGCATTGTAACTTTCCCCGTGGATTAATGTCTTGACCGGGTTTGAGTATTTAAAATAATTCCCTAGTCGGCCTCGCTGATTAAGATGCTCGGCTCGGACCTGGTTTAATGTTTTAATAATCCTCCAGTCGGCTGGTCGATAACATAAGTCTACTTTCGTATGTTCCATTACTTAACTGGTTTTAATATTTTTACATTAAAGACAATGTGCCCTCATGTTATTCACACCCAAATATATTATATTATATTACCCACTGGATTATGTGATGCTCCCATGTGATGGCCTACATTATGTATACCTGTAAGAGTCGTAAGGACCTAAATCTATGTATGTCCGTAACAATGTATATGTATAGGTATCGCACGCTAAAACAATCGAACGACGGATGCACGGACGTGACACATCTTGTAGAAACAGCCGCAAAAGACCATTCACCAACATATAAA